CAGAGTGCAACCTGCCTCTTGGGAAGTGGGTTTGAGGGGTGCAGAAACAGCCCATGTCACTCAGTACAGAGTGAGAATCTAAAAATAGAGCAGTACTGGAGTTTGACCCATGAGGAGGGGGCAACTGGTCCAGTGAGAGAAATAACTGGGACTGGGGAACTCTGTGCTTAAGTGGCCTGTTGCCACAGGGGACTGGGTTCAGGGTGTGCTCCCCATACCTTCCCCAGCATCATCCCTGTTCTAGGGTGGTGCCAAGCTCTGACCTTGGTTGCAGCAGACAGGCAGAATCGTAACGTGTGTGGGAACCCCCTAAGATGGTCTCAGTGCCTCCTCTACAGCCCCCTCAGCTCTCACTGAGCCTTTTCTTCCCGCACTGTGCCTGGCCCCTCTCCCTGGGGGTCTTGCCTGCTTCCCGTGCCCCACAGGGGACATTTTCCCACCCCTGCCCGTGGGTGGATTTGATTCATGCATGGTTTTATGTGCAGACGTGCTGGTGGCAGTTCCCTAAAAGGGGGTGAAGGCAACCTACCCACTAACAGAGGCGGCTCTGGGGCTCCGTTTGTGGCTGTGTTCTGTTGTTGTTAGCGTTAATAAGCTTGCCCTTGATGCAGTCTGCAGGGCTTGAGGTGCTGACTAAGGAGCAAAAATCCAGGGAAGGGGGAGAGCAGGAAAGGGAGCTCTCATTTGGGAGTGTGTGTGTGTGTGTGCATGCTCTCCCTTGAGTACGTGTCCAGAGCCTAAGGCCACCCTATTTTTCTAATGGGGTGCAGGGAAAAAGCTGCAGTTTCTGCTTGAGGTATTGCTTGAGCTGGCAGGGAGAGCTGGGCTGGCCAGATGGAGGGATGAGAGGGAGGCAGGGAGAGAGAGGCAGGCAGGGATGGGAGGGGGGAGAAGGGAGCTAGACACCTACGCAAACACAGAGTGAGAGGAGATCCTTGGATGCAAACACAGACACAGGCGTCCTCCTCCTCCTCACATGCCCCTGATTCATTTCCACATGCCATACACGTGACATGCTAATTCAGGGCTACTACAGAACTCCAGGGCGAGAGATGAACAGGAGAGAGAAATAAAACCCAGTAAGGCACCGAACTGCAGATTTTTAAAGGGGATTCAGCGCAGCTTAGCCGTACCCCCGCCCCGTGCTCCCTCCGGGGGAGGCAGAGCCGGGCTGGCCTCGCCGGCAGCCCCCCCGCCTGCTCATGCCCCCACGCACCCCCACACCACCACCTTGCGGGAGTGGCTCCACGTGAGCTCCGCACACAGAAGCAGCACGGTGCCAGAGCACATCCCACCCATCCCCGGGACACACGCGGTTACATCAGCGGCACGCTCCCCTCCGCGCCCCTGCGGCACCACGCGGGCTGGGGCGGCCTCAGCTCTGCCCTCCTCCCCAGCACCGGGGGCCTGCCGAGCTCGAGTCTATTTTTAAACACAGGCACATAAGCCCTACGTGCTGGGGGGCGAATAAGCTCCAAACAACCCCGTTACAAACCCGGGAATCCCCAAGGTAAATGTAGTTGCCCGGCAGTGGGGCAGGACATGCCCCCCGCCGCAGCCCCCTCGCTGCAGCCCACTCCCCCACCACTGGCTCAGGCTCTTGGTGCCCCTACCCACCTCCATTCCCAAGCCACAGCAGGCTGCCTGCCCTGCCTGACTCCAGCAGTCACATCCCCACTGTGACAAGATGCTGAAAAAGAGGGGAGGTAAAATACAAAATACAGCTGTGGCTGTCAGTGGGCTGAATGGCAATATGACTGCTCCGACCCCACTGGGGTTTACACCAGGGTAACGGATAGGACAGTTTTATCCTCTGTATCTGTACCCTTGCCCAGTTTATGCGGCACTTTCTTACCATCTACTCTTCCAATGCTAGGTCCAAAATGAATGAACCACCTGGATTCATAATTTCTATCATGCAGAAATAACGTCAGTACAAAGAGCTCTGCAGCCCATCGCCACCCATCTTCCTCCCACTCCCTGTTTAAGGGTTGCATCAATGCAAAGACCTGAAGAGCTTCACCCCCTCAAGCGCTACCAGTTGTGCCAGAGACATGGGAAGGGGAAAGCAAATTCCCAGCATGGGGAGGCAAGGACTCTCATCTCAACCATCCCAAGTGAGACAAAGAGGGGACCAAGTCCCTGGTCCACACCACAGCAAATGTGGTGAGGAAGAACAAGCACCCTCTGAACTGCACTTGGGAGTGGTGGTGGCCAACAGCAGCAGGACTAGACCTCTCCCCAGCAAACAACAAGTGACAGTGGGAGCTTCCAGTGCCTGGAAGTTACTGGGGTTAGCCTTGAGCTCCCCCGGTTCCCATTGCATCAGTTCAGTCTGAGGGGGACTGGGTGGGCATGACACAAGGAACTTAGTGGAGTTACCTCTTTGTAGCATGGAGAACCAAAGATATTTTGGGCTATATTGTATCCTGAGGATATTTTTGCTAACTGGACTAACCCTTCAGACATCTCTAACAGGAGCTCCAAATATAGGCAGACAAAAGCATGTCTGCTTTCTCCTGAGCGGAATTTTGTGTGTTTTACCTTTGAAAAGCATATCAGAGAAATTTGGGTTGCAGTCCTGGTAATTTGTTCCTGTGAAAAGGTGGTGGTTACAATTTTTTCTCCAAGTGTTGCCTACCCTTCTCTTTTTTAGCGGCCAGAGGAGCTGGACCCTGGCCCCAAGAAAGACATCTTAGCAAGCTTCTTTCTTCTGCATTTCTGAGGAGGAAAGAGAGATGATCTAGTTTATTGGCTCAAGCTTTCCCCATGTATGAAGGGGCTTTCTTTGCTAGACTGAATATTTTGAACCAAGATCTGTGAAGGAGAATACACAGCAATTCCACGTTTATCTGCCACCGTTTATATTAGAGACACTCTATTCACTCAGTAGAAGAAACCTGTGTTGCTTCATGAAAAGAATGAGAGGAGAAGGTGGAAAGCATTCAAGTTAAATATTCCACCCAAGTATTTTAAACTGACAGTCACATGAAGTAAAAAATCCCGCAAGCTATATAAGACTGTGTAAGGCTTACTGAAAAACAAGGCTTTCTGTCTAAGGCAGAGGAAACAAAGGTCACTCATAACACCCACTAACGTTTGTATTTTTAAACTCTTATTATGTCCATGTCTAATCATGATCGAGGTCTTTGTGTGTACAGACATGAAGATAAGGTATCAAATCCAGAATGTTTTTAATGATGTAGACAGTCAGTCATGGTGGAAGCAGTCACAAATGTATACCTGCAGAAGTGTGTGTGTGTTTATGTGTACCATCCTGTCTCTTTACAATACTGCCCATGGGCACCACACTGCAAGATTCTGCCCACAAAAAAACAAGGAAACCCATGATAAAAGAATGTGCAACTGCAAGTAAAGACCTGAGTGTCTAGTTCAAGCCTAACAAGCTGCTGCACCCAAGCTGGCATTGCAGCCCAGGAGTCCTGCCTCCCTCTGTCTCCAGTAACCATGAGACAGCAATCCTTCCCACATTTGCAGGAACAATGATTTTTTTTTTTTTGTTTTGGTAATTGTATTAATACCTGTTCTTCCCTCATGCTAGCAATTTGGTTGATTTCTTGTTTATTGCTTTTCACCTTCTACCATCAATAATTCAGCCACATAGCCCCCAGGAGGTGGAGAACTAAATACTCCTTTTACAGAGACTTGCCTAGTAAAGGAGTGATATGATAGCTGGAATCAGATCCCTGGCATTCCAGGTTCCTAACCCAAGCCATAGTCCCAGAGATGGCAGTCCCACAGCCTGCGATGCCAAGGCTCTTGCTGGCTTTTGGAAGTTTGTTCTGGATTCTGTCTCCTTGGGTTTTGCCAGGAATAACAACGGCAGGATGTGACCCTGATTGTAAATGAGGTTCATAGGTGGCTTGTGCACTATCAGTCTTGCTGCTTCTCCTCTGGTCTTTAATCCTGTATTTCCTAAATCAAAGTGTTGTGCCCAGATCCTCTCAGGATCTGTGGATTAGGTCACGGTGTTCATTTCAGTGCTCAGAAAGCTGGTTCTTGTAATTAAACTGCTACCATTATCAACCCCAGAAAATCCTGTTTTAGGGACTGGAAGGGGTGAGGAGAGAAGAGGCTGTGAAGAATCAGCTCCACTCACGCTCTCTAGCGAGTGTCTGAGCCATATAGGTCAGGCAGAAGCCATTTGCTGTGCTGTACCTGCTCCATGGATGATCAGGGGACTGCATTCTGCATATATGTGAGCTGCCTTGCTTTTCAGTTCAATTCAATTAGCTAAACCCTTCTTAAAACCCTGTAGAAATAAATATCCCTCTACTCCTCAAGCTACTGTCTTTTTTTTTTTTTTTTTTTTTTGGGGGGGTGGGGGGGGCGTTCTATGCATGCTGTCCTTCCAGCTCATCCTTCAAACACCCCGGCCATCTCTTCGGGTGCCGTGGGCTATTTTTAACCCATGTGCAGGTTTGAGCGAAGCCTCCCCGTGCCGGAGTCCCCCCGCTGGGGTGCGGAAGGGGCTGGCGGCGTGGAGCAGGGAGCGAAGTCAAGCCACAAGGGGGCATGTGCTCTTCTAATTCATAAAATGTGCCTTCATTGACAAAAATGCTGAACAATTGGTGAATGGTGTGTGCATAAGTTAATGCTGCTGGAGAACACACGGCTAGTGATGGGGACCTTGGCTGGGGGGTTTGTGAGCAGGGAACAGAGAGATGGGGAGGAGTGGCAGGGCCCTAAAATGCACCTGGGGCATTTCTGCAGCTCTCTCCTGCTGAAGCAGGGAGCTCTGGTGAGGGGAGAGTCAGAGAGCCTAATTCTGCTTCCAGACTCCACTGAAAGTAATTACAATGGCCAAAGCCGGGAGGGTGTTAGTGACAGTCACAGGCTCAAGCTGGCTCTGGGAATGCTTTGCTGTTTTCTTTAAGGTTTTGTAGCAAATGGGTTCAGCTGCCAAACATTTTTAATTCCTTCACTAGGTGAGATGGTACAGTAGACTAATTGCTAATAAGGATATTTACACACAGAGTATTTATTTCCAAGCAAACTTTGCATCCACCTGCATCTCCTAGACTTGTCTGAACCCATTCTCACCACAGTAAGTTCCCCAGTTTCTGCTGTCTCTTCCTGCCCTACAGCACTGTTTTGGGGCTTGGGTAGTTTCTCCAAAGGACAACCAGTGTAGAGGGAAGAGAGATAGGGCTGAGCACTGAACAGGGAGCCAGGATGCTTGGGGATGCACCCAGCTCTGCTATGGTCTAAGGTGTCTGTGAGTACTCTGATGAATTAGAGGACTAGGAACTGCTAAAGATTTCTGTGAAGTCTTGTTTTCAAACAAATTTCCCAATGCAATGGATAAAAGAAAAAAAGGGATGAGCAAAAGTTTTTCTGTCTGAGCATGTCAAAATAAATATTTGGTTTATTGGCTTTTTGGAGCCCTGTCTTCTCAATCCAAAATGGACTCAGGTGTACTGGGAGTCAGTTTACAACTTCCCAGTACATGAGTCAAAATGTGGAGCTCACCACCTGTAATTCCAGTGACTACAATGGAGTTCAGACAAGAATGAATTTGACAAAAGAGGATTTGACTGATCAGGATTGTCCTAAGCAATATCAGAAATGGGGAGGCACCCTCATTCTGCCTGCCCCACGAGCTCCTCCAGCTATCAGGGCAATGCAGTCAGACCTTCACCCACTGTGGGCTGTGCCCAGCTAGCATACAGTGGGGTCTTCCACCAGTGCCTACAGACTGCACTGAAATGAGGGACAGGGTTGCAGAGGGTGAGTGTCTCACCCCACTCCCTGGATTAGTCCCTGCTTCCCTTTCCTTTCTTTGATGGGGAAGGGGAAGGGAAAAGCCAGGCAGTAAAGAAAGTACCAGTGCTGTCCCTACAGCACAAAGGGGGGAGGTACTGGATTACTCCATAGTGACGAGCTGGTGTATCACAGAGAGCACCTTCTTGAGTAACCAGGCATGGAAGAACCGGGCCTATAGCCACCATTGTTTAACTTGGTGATTCAGCCTTCAAGCCCCTTCACCTCATTTTAAAAAGCAGGGAAAGCCCTGTCACACAGGTCAGAAGGTCATGTTGCCCTCTGTCTCCATCCTTCCCCCTGCACAGGTGCAAGCAAGACATAAATGCTGCAAGGCTTTGTACAAAATGGGAAACAGGCTGGATTTACCTGTAGTATGAAACAGATTTATCTCTTGAATGAAATAGCCTAAAATGGCCTCTCTGAGAATTTTGGCTAAATTCAGGAGCGGTAGAAATAAACCTGCAAAAGGCTTTCTGTCATGAAAGATGCTCTGACACAACAGTGATGTGTGTGTATAACATTTATCAGGGAAATCAGCAGGAACAAACCCAGCCTCAAGTATTCTAAAGCCTGGGACATGACATGCAAGGCTGCTGCATAGGGATCTCCTGTCAGAAACTGTGTGACTACCTCATGCTGTTGAGAGCAATACCACTCCATTCAACATTTTATATGTGGCATGGGCAAGACTGGAAGTCTGGTTTGCCCTTGGGACATGATTGGTTAGGTAGGATGCAGGACCATAACCTCTCACTGTCTTTGCAGTTCTTCAGACCTCTGGTAGTGCTATAGCTGATCATGATTTTGCTTTTGTTAAATTTGAGATAAATCCTCCTGCATTCTGTGCAGACCAGAAATTTCCCTTTGGACTGCAAGTTGTGAGGGTAGCCCTTCCCTGCATGGGAAAAAAAAGACATCTTCCTGTGACCTGGGGCAAGACACAGCCACTTGTTTGTGTGCTGTAATGCCTGTGTAGCCTGTGGCCTCTAATATCCCTAAAGCCATGTGCCATGAAGCTTATCCAGACTGAAAATCTCATGGTTCTTCTTCCAGGACTGAAATTCTTGCAGTAAGTCCTAGAAGTCTTTAAACACAGGATGCTAATTTGATTTAAAAGCTGAAAATATCAAGATGCATCTGCACCCACCGTGAAATTTGGTAACTTACTTTGTCCATCCTCCCTCCCCTTTTCCAATTGTTCTTTTTTGTATGGTTCCCCACTGAGACTGCGTTGTCTTTGTGTACAGCATGCTTTCCTATACTTAACCTATACTTAACCATAAAGCACTAAACTGCCTTTTTTCACTGTTATTTAATGCTCAGAACATTTATTGCTGCACAGGTGGTGTGGTGTCTCCCTGCTCTTCTAGAAAATTCCAATAGTCATAGGACTGAGATGTCTAAGAAGTCAACAATGAAATCCTAAAAAAAATATCCCTTCCCAACACAATCTTAACTGTGAGTTGCTGGCATTAGCTCTCAGAAATGGCATGGCAAAAAGTGAGGAGCCTAATAAATAGACCTGAGGCACACTCTTTGGGTGTGCTAATATTAGAATCACAGACAACAAATTGGAAATTCAACATTTATCTGCATCTATTCTGAGTGTATTAACTGTGTTGACTGTAGCTGTATTGATTACATGTTGGAGCAGCTTGGAATAGCTGATACCGTGATACAGTGCAAGGTTTATGTTGAGAGATGGAGTGTGGTTTATTTGGTTTGCCAGCGGAGATTTAGCCAATGTGCCCATAGTAATCCCTTGCTGCAGGAATTGTCCATCATCCAATTGTATGATCTCCTGGTCACTGGGAGAGGGGAGCAATGCCATCTCACAGAAGGAATGTGTACAGAAAGGGAAAAGTCAAGATATTTTTTAGTGTCTTCTATGTAGGCTCAGCACTTGAACAGAGGCCAAGCCAAGCTTGCACCTGTTTGCTTGTGTGACCTTGCCTTGTGCTTTACCACAGCAAGGGAATCATTGGACTCTGTCCAAGAGACCTCTGTACTTATTTTCAGTGTGCCTGTGATGGTGGGTGAGGGCTTTGCTGTGGCACAGCACCCAAAGGGCAGAGTCGAAGTCACATTCCAAACAGCAATGTGTGCAACAAAACTGTGTCTCTTCTTTGCTTACTTTCACCCTCACTCTACTTCTCTACTTCTTGAAAGAAAGGAAACTTAATTCCCTCTAAGCAAACTTTTGGGATATCAAATATTTTTCAGTTCACACACACACATACATACCCCAAGAAAAATGCAACCTTTTCCATGTCCAGAGCCTGGATCCCCATACTGGATCTAATTCCCTGTGTTGCACACTACTTCCCTCTTTGTGCTTCTGTGTTTGCAGGTACCAGCATGAAACTCCGAAGAGGAGCTGGGAAAGGACTCTGGAGTAGCCTGGAGCCATAACTACACTTTGAAAAGTGGAGAGGACAAATGTGAAGGGAGCACATATGACAAGCAGGAGACCTGAAAAAAAGCACTCCAAAGCCCTGTGAGGTATGGATGTTGGTTATGAAGTTTGTAAAGCTCAACTGCTCAGCATCTTTCACTTCTTTTCACTGCTTTCTTTCATCCACCGCATTCCTTGTGGCTCTTTTTACTCCCCTACAGTACTTCAGGTCCTCTGAAATCCCCTCCACTACATCCACACTTTGTACTCCCATACCTTCTGGCACCCTCCCCTTCCTCTCCATGCATTCACTGTTTGCAGCTGTACTCCCTCGTTTCCTTCCACGTCCATCTCAACTTTACCCTTCTCTTTCCCACCCCTCACTTGCGGGTTATTTGACATACCTGTGGGCAACAAGGAGCAGAGCAGTGCTGTGAGGTGTGAGTGTACCAGGTGCAGGGTGGCAGGACAGGGAACAAGAGCCGAGGTCCAGCCCCAGGCTGCTACTGGGGAAGGGAAGCCCTTGGGAAGGAGGTTGAGAGCTCTGGAAATTCAGAGACTCGTTCTTGGTCAAACAAAAGAGCTAAATGAAGGAAAAAAACTGTCTGCACAGCTCCAGATGGCTCTGACCAGAGACGGGCTTAGTGCCCGGCAGAATCCCCTCTACCTAACATACTCTGCTTACATAAAGGGAAAAGGAGAGTGTTTCTAGCTCTCTCTCTTCACTGCCCACCTGGCCTTCATTCTCCACCAGGCCTCTCATCACACTTCTGGACTAGGGCCTCAGCTCTAGTCCTTGCCTTTGTTTCCTGCTGCTTTCTAGCCTCCCCCTCTAATTGCTTTTGCCTCTCCAGAGTCCTATATATACTCTTCTTACTGTGCTCTCCTCCAGACCCTTCTCCCTTCTGCATCCAAGCAACCCACTCTGCCCCTGTTCAGTCAGCACACGTGCCCCAAAGCTTTCCCTCTATTCAGCACCCCCAGAATATAACAAATTTAGAAACTCTAGAACAGTCTGTGCTAAAGGGATTTTTTTATCTGTGACTTACAGGCATAGATGACCAAATTGCTTGTTTTTCTTTGGCTGCATTCACTTTGCTTGCTCCAGGTAACCTAATCCTGTTTTTTTAACTGTCTTCTATCTTCCTCCACTTAATCCTTGCTGATTTTTCCTGACTACTTACGTTTCTAAAACAACATTGGACTGTTTATTTTAGAGAACTCACAAATGTTGGTTTTAAATGAGAGATAGTGGAGTTTGGACAAACGGAGCTCTTGTAAAACACAAGAAGCATGTACATCGCTCTATTCCCAAAAGCTTTCAAGAGAAGTCACCTGCACAGTGCATGGGTGCAGCTCAGTTTAACCAACACACCATGTCACCTGGGATCACTTAGTTATTTTACCAGCAGGCTGCCTGGAAACCTTCTTGCTTTAGCACATATCTTACTGCTCATGTGCACCTCACCTCACTTTCTTTGATTTGAGAGTTTGCTACAAGCTGATGTGGGGACCCAAGCTCAAAGGTCACTCACTTTTGCAGCAGAGTGTCATCACTGGTGCTGAGCACCAGCAGATATGAATATCCAAGAACAGACCAGTCTGAACAGGACCAAAACTTCATTTTTAAAATTAATAGTAATAATAATAATAGACATTGTCAATAGTGATACAAAGATGGATGAATGCATGCATGAATGATTTATATAATGGCCATGCTTTCATTCTTTTCCTATTTATCCCTCGGAACTAGGAGTGGAGCCTCTATGCACACCAGTGCTAGTCTTGGAGTCATCAGCAGTCTGCAGATACAGTTCCAGCTATAGTGCATGTGTAGCCATTACATGGAAAAAAAGCGATGTGTGAGATGCCCGTCCCACGCAGGCTGCGCAGCTGCAACTTCTTGCTCAAATGACTCCAAATTTGCCCCAAGTGGTATTTAGCCAGGGCCTCTGGGAGGTTCATTAGTATTGCGAAAATCAGATGGAGCATAAGAATATCGAGGTATGTTGCATACTTCCTCGTTAAGCAGAACATGATGCTCACTCTTCACTATGGTAGAGCAGTGCACACTCGCTGGGATGGATCTGAGCATATACAGTGCAGAAGTATCGTAAGTAATAAATGGTGTACCCAATAGTGCCTAACTGCAGCGATGATTAATCATTTAGGCCCTGATCCTGCAAACATGCATGAGTTTAACATTACTACTATGAGTAATCCCCTTGATTTCAAATTAGATTAGTCACAGTCTTAACACTTGGCACGTGAATAAATGTTTGCAGGGCTAGAGTCCTATTTATGGCCTGATCTTGCAAATTATTACTGTCTAGCACAGTGCTTCTGTTCCTGAATACTTTCACCGATTAAAAAAAAAAAAAAACCACAAACTCAAAACACTCTCCTGAACTGTGAATGTTGCAGGGTTAGATCTGCTGTGTGATACGTATGCACAGTTCTGCATAGCGTAGGTCATGGATAGATATAGCTGTATCTGGCCATGGGTGTGTGCCTCGATGCAAAGCACTTGAAAGCTGATCGCCATCAATGTTTTTTACTGTCCTTTACCACTGGTTCTAAGATTTAGGTCTTCCCTCTACAGTGTAAACAGAATTTTTCCCCTATTTCTTTTTAAAGAAAGAAAGAGAGAGAGATTAAATCAGTTTTGCTAAGTTAGGGTGAAGAAAATAAGGAACCAAATAAGCAGCTTGCAAATTTAAGTCACCAGTCTAATCAAATTCCTCTGGGCTGCGGTGTCCTTTCTGTGAAATCAACCTGCATTAAAGCGACTGGGTTGCTGTTTGTGAATGTACCATCTCTGCAAATTACCGCTGCTCCGTTGCATTGTGTTTGTATGAATGGGGGTGACATGTGCTTGCCCACAGGTCCACGTGAGAGAGGTGGGGTGAGGAAGGAAGGATATTTTTAAAATGAATCTAGAGGGAGAAAGTGGACGCTGCAGCTTCAGAGAATGTGAATGGTATCCTAAAATAACCCCTGTCATCTGCCCACCCACCCACTGCCAAAATCAAGGTGCAGCTCTTTCATTTAAAATTAATTCTTGGCCCCAGAGGGTATCGATAGATCAATATCTTGTGCTTCTGATCTCTTGCGGGCCACCCTTCAATGGCTCATGCAAAGGCTAAAAACAGAAAGATGCAACACAAAAGATACCGCAGTCAGCTCAAGCAAGGGGGATATTTTTAGATCAGAAAAGGGAAAGGAGGGGAGAGGGAGAGAGAAAGGAAAAAGAGGGAGAGAGGCTGGTCTAGGGTTTGCAATCTAATTTGGTCTCCCTCTTCCCCCCTCCTTTTTTTTTCTCTCTTTTTTTATTCCATCGGTGGTATTTTCCATACAATCTGATTTCTGCCCGCTTGGCT